CGCTCTCGGGAACATTAAACCTTTTTTTTTTTTAATTGTTGATGGTCCGTCCCGTTCGACTGGAGACCTGCCGTGATGTTGCTTCAGAGGGCCTGTGATGCGAGGTCTAGGCTGTGAATGGCTCAGTGTCAGGCGAGTGTCAGTGAGCCTTTGCTTCAGGGCGGGGTTTTAGGAACCTTACCTGCCTGTAGAATTAGACTCCTGTCAGGGTTACTATCCTCTTGGTCTGTAGGCATGTTCTCCGGGGTAGAGGCTCATCAGACCTGAAGTACTCGTTTGAATTTGTAGTCAGAGATTAAAATAGAAATATATTATGTATCAAGATATGGTTATGACTTCATTAACCCATTGTCGACAGGCATGACCACTGTGAGGTTACTTTATCAATTGTTTTTACACATTGATGGCTACACTTGTACTAAGTCACCAGTGAGCCAAAAATATATAAAATGAGCACAGCATTTTTCCCTTCTTTTTTTTCTTTTCTCCGGCGGCAATGTGTTAAAACCCCCTTTGGAAATGGCCTAGTTGCACTAATCAACACTGTGCTAATACAATATTGATTCTAAGCAATACACTGAATTGTTGAAATTATAAGTCTTTTTAATAGTTTTACTCCTATCAAAGTATATATCTTAGTTAGAAATATTATTTAGATTGTATAAATCCTTATTCCTATAAACATAAAGCCCAATTTCTCATTAATCTTGTGATTTATTCCAGACTGAGCGTCATGCTGCCGGGCATTGGAGTCTTTGGCACGGGGGACATTGTGCGAGCCCTCGTGCCTTTTCTCAGGGCTAAGGGATTCCGCGTTGAGGCCGTGTGGGGGAGGACACTTGAAGCTGCGGAGAATGTCGCCACCGAGCTCAATATTCCTTTCCATACAAATAAGGTGTGTGGTTTGTGGTCTAAAGCATTTTTTGTGAGCTTTAAGGGTTCTTTTTTCAGCAGAATTATTTTTGTGATTATATAACAATTTTCTGTCTTTAGTTTTTGCTGGTTTTCGTCTTTCCTTTCATTTGTATTTCTCCTTTCATGTTAGTTAAACAAATGGTATGAATTTTGATTAATTACCTAATAATTTCTTTTAATGATAGATAGAATCCTTTATTTTGACAGGGACACTAATCTGCCCTTAAAAATGTTTTGGCCTTTTCAGAGCTATATATTTCAGGTTATTTTTCAGATCATTTCAGATTTTTTAAAGTTCACTTCAGGTCATTGTATTGTATTGTGTTATTAATATTATTATTAGTAGTTGTAGTACCTTAGGAAAATTAATGTAATAGATAGTATATTTAAAATGAAAGTGCAGAGTTCAAGCACCATTCATATGGCACCCGATTTTGATGTATGTTGCAGGAGTGAGGAATTTACTTTTGTGCGTCAGTATGTTGGCTCAAATTCTGATGCACCAAAGTTGTGCTGCCAAATTAGGTAACTGATATTTTGAGGGTCATTTTCTTGTGGGGGACTAGGCAATTTACTGCTTTTGGGCTCTAATGGAAAAATGGACAGACATGATTATCTTGAGTTGAGAAATGTGATGATGATTTTCTCTCTCTCTCTCTCTCTCTCTCTCTCTCTCTCTCTCTCTCTCTCTCTCTCTCTCTCTCTCTCTCTCTCTCTCTCTCTCTCTCTCTCTCTCTCTCTCTCTCTCTCTCCCTCCATACGTAATGGAGCTCCCTTTTGCACTGCCCAAAAAATTGAGTATTGCTTTATTTGTGTTTTGAATGTTTTAAAGTTTGGCTTGGCCTTTTGCCATATTCAGATCTGAGAAAGTCTGCGGAATTTGACGAAACACGACACAAATTGCAGAATATCAATACCCCCTCCCCTCCCAAGCTTTGAAGAGCAGTCGAGCAAGTGTAGGCAAACATGAAGAAGGAAGAAAATCATGCTTTATTTGTTCCAGAATGTTGAAAGATATGTATGATGCCAAAGGGAAATGAAAGCAAAATGGCTCTTTATTATTCTTAAAAAAGTTAATTAAAAATAAGGTAGCACATGATTACACATTTCAGCAGGTAGGGTATGACCTTCACTTCTGTTATGTAATAGCATGTTGCAGGATTGTTATATAAACAAATGTAAATAAATACATATAATCAGCTAGAGTGATGTCAAATTAATCATTAAAAAGTCAGCTCTCTTTTAGAGTTTATTTTGGAAAGATAGGATATTTAGTTATATTTGGAAAATATAGAGGAAAGAGGTCTTTAATTCAAAATAAAGTGAAAAGACCTACCCTTATCAATTGTTTTCATGTTTGCATAGGCTTTAAACTTGCAGATCCTCCAGCTTGTTTGTTACCATTTCCAAATAATACCTGAGTTTTCATGTTTCATGAAGGCAAATTTTGGTCTGTAATATTTCAAGATCTTGATATTACACATTAGAAAATGTACATTTTATTATTATATAACCAACACTTACTGTGAAACAGGCATTCAAAGCTAATGTAAGTTATAGCATTTTAGCCCTTATGTATGAGCCA